CAGAGGCTGCCTTCTGACTCCACCCCCCTAGTGTCTTCATAGCTAAAGGCGTGGAAGAGAACCCCAACCCTCTGGCACTCCTCAAAATGCACAATGTTCTTCCTCTCCTCAGCAAACAACAAGGCGTGACCACGAACAGTGGCAGATTGAGAGACAGTCAATTGCTGGAGGGGAGAAATCACTGTGACATCCATGGCAGCAGGACGGCCGAGGGACCAGGAGGGAACAAAGATGTCAGCTGGGCGGGAAGAGGAATCAGGGACCAATGATGGGACCTATTATTATTATTACTATTATTATTATTATTATTATTATTATTATTATTATTATTATTATCAATTATTATTATCAATTAATCTCCTAGGGGCTTACCTCTGGTTGTAGCGGAATCTAATGAGGGTTCCATTTCTCTTCTGTCCACTGTTCCAGGAGGCACACTACATATTGTAGTGTGCCTTAATCGGGTTCAGCCACCATAAATCCTGACAATTGGCCATTAGAGGGGAGAGGAGGTAAAGCCGAGCTTTGACATGATTTGCCTTGGCAAGGCATCAGATAGGGCCTAAGCCATCAAACAACAAGGCCACAAATGGTGGGACCTGGAGATACCCTTTGTCTAGCTAGTCGAGCAAGGGTACACCATTGAATGTTGATGTGGTTACTATCTTAGTAAAGCAAGGCTATTCAATGTTATGCAATTACATTAAATCTCTCCTCCCCTCTTTAGGCATAAATTGTCAAGGAGGTGGCATTCCCCTTTCAGTGAGTTATCACACTGCCCCTGCCAGCAATGAGAAAATAAAGCTATAATAATGGGAGTGGTGGGTGGGGGAAAGTGAAAAGCTAGCGACTGCTACGTCTTTTCAAATCTAGCGATCGACTGAAGTAGAGCCTTCATCCCCCCGTTAATATACGCAGTAATGCGCATGCGCAGATGAGCTTGGTGGGGAGCCCCCTGAGATTAACTTTGTCTAACCCTACTGTTTAAACTCCAATTGTTATTATTATTAATATTATCACTATTATTAATATTGTTTTCATTATTATTATTGTTATTTAGAATTTAGTGTTTGCATTTTAACTATTTTACTA